GGGCCCTTCTCTCCAGGAGCCCTGGGGGGTCAGCAGGTTGGGGGCGGCCTGTCCCCTGGACCGCGCTGGCTGTCCCCGTGCACACTGTTCGGGGGCTCCAGAAAACAGCTGGCTCCTGCAGGGGGAGCAAAGTATTGACTCCTGAGTGCAAAGACTGCAAGATTGAAAATAAAATGTGTTAAAAAAAGAAAAAAAAAAAAGAAAAGAAGATGTGTTTAAGTAACAGCAAAATGGAATTTGGGTCATCTTTGTGAGTGGTTACACTGAGCAGCTGTCAAATGTCATTTCCATCCTGGCCGGCTGGCTCAGCGGGTCTGGGAGTCGTCCTGTGCACCAGTTTCCACCCCCCATCCCAGCCGGTACGGGAGGCAACCAGTTGATGTTTGTCTCACATCTATGTTTCTCTCTCTCACTCTCTCTCTCTCTCCTCCCCGTCTCTCTCTAAAGAAAAGGGGAAACCGTATCCTTGGGTGAGGATTTTTTAAAAAGTCATTTCCTTGGAAAAAACTTTTTAAAACTATTTTTTAAATTGATTTCAGAGAGGAAGGGAGGGAGGGAGGGAGAAACATCAGTGATGAGAGTCATTAATCTGCTGCCTCCTGTGTGTCCCAGGACAGAGGCCGTGACCGCTGACACCCCCCTGTGCCCACCCTCAGCCAGGTCAGCTACGTGCCTGACCGAGGGAAGCTGGAAGTGTTTACCCTGAGGGATGTGCCCAGCCCTGAATCGAACCATGACCTTCCTGGTTCATAGGTTGACGCTACGCTCAACCGCTGAGCCGCACTGGCTGAGCGGAAAATCACTTTTAGGTTGAGATTCCCCTGAGCAGTCCTGGCGATTTGCTGGCCCACTTGCTCATGCGTTCGTTGGCCGATCCTTGCATGACCGGGGATTGAACCTGCAACCTCGGTGCATCAGGACAACGATCTAACCACTGAGCTCCTTGTTCAGGGCTCATTATTATTATTTTTAAGTATTTTTTAAAAATTTACAACAGTAAAAACCACTCTAGCTGTCCAGAATAGAGTGTGGGTAATGCCCTGAGCTGGGCTGGGCCTCAGGCAGCGAGAACGGCCTTCATGGCTCCGCAGAACACTCGGGGAAACTGGTCGTTGAAGGACTGGGGCTCCCCAGGTCCCAGGATTAAGAACGGAGGTCTCCCTGGGTGACCAAGGGCAGGGAGGTCCTATCTGAACTCAGTTTCCTCTTCTGTACATAAAACTCTGGGCTCCCACCTCTGTGCGTTCCCAGGAGTGGGGCAGCCGCTGAGACCCAGGTCAGGGGGCTTTCAGTCTCCGATCCACTTTTTCTTCTCTCGGGGGGGTGGGGGCACACCTGGGGCAGCCCCAGGGGAACCCTTCTCTCCTTGACCTCGGCCTCTTACTTTGGCAGGTCAGCTGCAGCGGAGACCCGGTCCACCTGGTGCTGAATGGGGGGCCTGAGGAGTTGCTGCTCATGGTCTGGGAACGGGGCCAGGTTGGCGCCTCATACACGCTGGGGACCCTGCAGAGCCACGGCTGTCCCCCGGCCGCTCGCCAGCTCCTGCATCACGCGCTCTGCATGCTGCAGAGCATCTAGCACCCCCGGGGACAGGGTGGGCCTCTGCATGTTGATGCCAGGGTCCCAGGCTCCATTTTTGTTTCTGTTCCTCCAGAGGGGATGGCCTTGGGGGCAGCTGGGGGAGCTGGCAGGTGCATGGGAGGTGGGAGGCTTTGCCTCATGGTGTGACTGTTCAACCCAGACTTTTGTTCAGCTTTGTTCTTCTTTCCGTTAAAAGAAAACTTGCTCTGGCTGATGTGGCTCAGTGGTTGAGCATTGACCCATGAATCAGGACGTCAGGGTTCATTTCCCCATCAGGGCACATGCTGGGGTTGCTGGCTCGCTCCCCAGTAGGGGGCAGTGCAGGAGGCAGCCAATCCATGATTCTCTCTCAGCATGTTTCTCTTCCTTCCTCTCTCTGAAATCAATAAAAATATATTAAAAAGAAAGTGAAACTGGCCCCTGTAGCCTGCTGTCTGACTCTCTTTGGGGCAGTCTGAGGAGCCTCAGCGAGGCAGCACTCAGACCCAGCGTGATCTGAGCCCACTGTCCGTTGTGGCAGACAGATGGCCAGAATGTCACCCACACGGAAGTTAGGACCTGAGAGGCGTTCTAAAATGACCAAAAATCGCCCTAGCCACTTTGGCTCAGTGGGTAGAGCAGTGGTCGGCAAACTGCGGCCCCTTGAGTGTGGCCCTTCCACAAAATACCACATGTGGGCGTGCATGTACAGTGCGATTGAACCTTCGTGGCCACACTCAAGGGGCCTAAGAGCCGCATGTGGCTCGCGAGCCGCAGTTTGCCGGCCACTGGGATAGAGTGTTGGCCTGCAGACAGAAGGGTCCCAGGTTCGATTCCGGTCAGGGCACATGCCTGGGTTGCAGGCTCGATCCCCAGTGTGGGGCATGCAGGAGGCAACCGATCAGTGATTCCCTCTCATCACTGATGTTCCTATCTCTCTCTCCCTCTCCATTCCTCTCTGAAATCAATAAAAATACATTTTTTAAAAAATAAAATGACCAAACATCTAAAATATAGGACATTTGCTTCATGGACAGGCTGTTGAGAAAATGGATGTTGGGGACTGGAAAGATGGTGACCCACGCGAGGCACAGCTGTCACCTGCGATAACTCAGCTTGGGGGCAAGGTGCTTCCTGGAGAGGGTCCTGGTCTTTTTGTGTTTTTTTTTCCTATCCATTGACATACATTTATGTTCCTGTAGAAAAGAATTAAACCATCAGTGCGTCCTGGCTTTCCCCTCAACCGTGTGCCTGGATGTATTTCTACATTTGCATGTAAAGATTCCCCTTCTTCTTTTAATGGAAGGAGGGGCTGAAGAAGAGCTGACATTTAGGGACTGGGGAGGGAATGGAGGGAACTGGTGGGATCGGTCAGGGGAGGTCAAATGCCTTGGTGTGGCCAGCCGTGGGAAGAGGAGCTGTTCTGCTTAGAAGAGGGGGTAGAAACTGGAGGATTCCCTGGAGAACCTGCGATGAGCCGGGTGTGGGTGGGAGAGGAGCCAGCAGAAGGGAGAGGCAGCGCCGGGCGGGGCATCAGGACCTTTCTCTCTCTTTAAATTACTATTAGTGTGCAAATCACATGGCACGCGGTTATTTTAATGTGTAGGACGTGGTGGCAATGAGCGCCTTCACGATGGGTGAGACCACCACCTCTAATTCTGAAACATTTCTATCACCTCGGGACACCCCTCCCCCAGCCCCACAGCCACTAATCCGCTCTCTGTCTCTGGGGGTTTCACATAAATGGAATCCACACACTCTGTCGCCTTTCGTGTCTGGCTTCTCTCGGTGGGCATCGTGGGCTCGAGGCCCATCCACGTTGTAGCGAGCGTTGGTGCTTCGCTCCTTGTACGGCTGAGTAACATTCCAGCGTGTTTAATTTATTTGTTCATCTGGTGATGGCATCGTGTTACGAATGACAGAAACCACCCTCCTAATTGTTTTTTTTAAATATATTTTATTGATTTTTTACAGAGAGGAGGGGAGAGGGATAGAGAGTTAGAAACATTGATGAGAGAGAAACATCCATCAGCTGCCTCCTGCACGCCCCCCCACTGGGGGATGTGCCCGCAACCAAGGTACATGCCCCTGACCGGAATCGAACCTGGGACCCTTGAGTCCGCAGGCGGATGCTCTATCCACTGAGCCAAACCGGTTAGGGCTGTGGGGTGTTTTGAATCAACAGATGGTCTTTTGTGTGAAAATGCCACCACGGTGGGCAGCCTCCAGGGTGGCCCTGTCCGCTTCCTTGTGCAGTCCCCTCCACACTGAGTTGGGCTGCCTGTGAACCAATAGGGTTTCAGCAGTAAGTCTGTGACTTCTGAGACTAACTAGGTCCTACAAGATGGGAGGCTTCCACCCCACTCTCTCTTGGACCACTTAGTCCATGGGGAGCCAGCTGCCACGCTGTGCGGACACGCAAGGAGCTCCGTGGAGGGCCCACAGGGAGAGGCCTGGAGTCACCCACAGCAACACGAGGGAGCCGTCCTGGAAGCGACTCCTCCAGGCCCAGCCTGCCGTCAGGTGAGGCAGCCTTTCATCAAAGACCCTGAGCCAGAACCTCTGAGCCAAATTACTTCTGAATTCCTGACCCACACACGTGACGAAAATAAAACGTGTTTCTTGTTGTTTCAAGTCATTTTGTTTGGGGTGACGTGGTACCCAGCAATGGGGTACTAATCAGCTTGCCCAAACAGGCAGATGACCCAGCCCCATTTCTGCCCAAAACATTGGTTTCAGGGGAGAAAATGACAAAACATCGTCAGCAGTTTAGCTGCCTGTCTTGCAAAATGACCCACCTAGAGTGTTTGTTCCCATCTGTTCGTGGGCGTAGGAACAGCAACAATCTGTGAGAATCGCCCACAACGACGGCTTATAAGCCAACCACAGAATATATTAATTTTGAAACCTCCCAGGCCGACTCTTATTTCTAGGTATGAGAACGTCAAGAGATGGCAAAATGCCCGGGACGCCCTCTTCAGAGCGG